TTTAGCCCTGACTGCAAGTGTTGGTTTTAGCCATAGCATTTATATAGAAAATTACTTTTTGTACATAGCAGCTCCACATAACTACTAATTTTTAAACTACCAATAAAGATACGAGCAAGGCCTCACCTTAATACCAAATATATATATATATATATTTTTGCTTAAACTACTAAATATGCAAAAGCTTTTTGTAACAACTAATAACTTAAAATTTTGGATTTAAGAAAATAACATTTACTAAAAAAAAAAATTGGTTAAAAAAATTGATTAAAAATTTGGTAAACAATTTCTTTAAAATAAAATTTAATATAATAGTTACTATAAAAATTCAGTATTGCATTATTTATAATTGCTAATATGTTTTTAATAAAAAAAATCAAAAAAAATATATGCCTGATCTTTAAGTTACACTTGATATTGAGACTTTATTGATTACAATGTCTGCTAAAATGGAGTAAACCCAATATATTAATCAACATAGTTTATAAATTATATATTTGATAATATGAAGAAAATTCTTAGATAAATGTATCAAAAAGGTATATAACTCTAAAAACAAAAATGTAACATCATTTACCGCTTTCGCGATACCCGAATTACCAGAAATTTGATGCTTACAAAATGGCTATCAATCTTTACGCACTGGTACAAACAATGGAGTGACCAATTACTAGCCTTCAGTGAATAACATCGTGAGTACAGACAGTTAGTTGTGGAAATGGACAATTCTAAAAGCAAATTTTTTACTAAATTAATTCTACCTGTTTTACCCGCAAGCTATTAACGTAACACGTATGTACGTACGTACATACCCGTAGTGATATTATCAATATCCGTTTTTGGAAGATATATGATGATATATGGATACGTAGAATATAAGCAAAAGTACATTAATGTTGACCAAAATTATGTTTTAAGCCCGAGTTGTATTAAACTATAAAAGGAGAGATTTATTTTAATTTGTTTATTTGATTAATAATCGATTCATAAAAATAAAACTATAAAAGTATACTTTAACATATTTATAAAAGGTAATAACATTGAGAATCAATGAGGCTTCGATTCAACGCAGATACCTGAAATGTGGCTGTGTAGTGATCAATCGCGTAAACATAAGAATTTTCTACATTAAGCCCATTCTCGTTTAACCTTTTCATTATCGTTATTATAACGATAACGTTTGAATACAGTGTAGTACTTACGTACGTGTATAAGTTCGTAAGTTTGTTATTTTTACAGGTAGAAATTATCATTTCGTTCACATAAGACCGAAATGGCTGAAATGGCGAGCGAGTTGGTTAACACAACATGTCCATCAGAAAATAAGATGGATAATGATCCATCAGCTTTCTGGGATAATGGACCACATTGGGATGGTAAGTAAATTTATTCGTTCGTTTGTTTGTATCTACCAAAAAATTAAGATTATTTTTTCATAAAATTTAATTTCAGCCCATAGAATAGGCTGGACAGTGTCTGGCGTATGTGCATTTATAGCGACGGTTGTTTCACTATATTTGATAATAAGACATACACAATTTTATCACCGTGTTAGTATGGCTTAAATTTTGTTCTACGAGGCGAGAGAGATTGTGCTATTCACACGATATGTATAATTTAATCTTTTAGCCAGAATATCAACGGCATATCATTCGAATTGTTTTAATGGTTCCGATATATGCAGTTGTATCATGGTTATCATACCGATTCTTTCATTATAGCATCTATTACGAAGCAGTTCGAGATTGTTATGAAGCATTCGTTATCGCTGCATTCTTTGCTCTTCTCACACAATACGTTGAAGATTCTCCTGAAGACAAAAAGGAGATGTTAGATAATGCTGCAAAAAAGAAATGCCCATTTCCTCTTGGTTGTTATAGATATAGACCAACAAGCGAAAGTTTTTCGCATATTGTTAAATGGGGCATTTTACAATACGTTGCATTGATACCGCTCATCACATTTGCGATCTTGATTACCGAAGCCTTTGGTGTTTATTGCGCAGAAAGTATGAGTTTAGCTTTTGGAAGAGTTTATCTAAAGAGTGCACAAATTATTTGTGTCACTATCGCGATGTATGCTTTGGTGAGTACGAAAGTACCTATGTACGTATATATTACTATTAGGCAATTATTTATTGTACGTGCAAAATCTTGTAGATTGTATTTTATTCAGCAATCAAAGAAGCGATTGCTTCAGAACAGCCTTTTTTTAAATTGCTCTGTGTTAAGTTGGTAATTTTTCTTTGTTCACTTTCTTCAAAGGATTGATTTCCAACAAACTTCTTCATAATTAACTTTTTTTTTTTTTAGGTTGTTTTCTTTTCATTTTGGCAAGCTGTTTTTCTTTCATTTTTGGCAACTTATGGTAAACTCATTTCTGTTATTATATATCGATTATTTATATAAATCCTTTATGAATCATTTTCTAACAAAATTTAATAGGAGTAATCCATGAAAGTCAATATTGGTATCAATTTCTACTATCTTCTCTTTTTTCTATATCAATTTAAATTTTCTAATAACTTTGAATTGGTTCATAAAGGACGAGCTCCAATATCAGTCGTGGCATAAATTCTCTGTTGATCTGTTGTGAAATGGTGATTTTTGCCTTTTTACATGTTTACGCATTTCCTTACAAACCATTTCGCGACTTTGGCAAAAATGCTAAAACATCAATATTTAAAGGTTTAATTGATGCTTTTAATCCTATTGATATGTTGAAGGATTTCATTATTGTTACAGTAAAAGTGTGGGACATAGCTAGACAAAAGCGTACTAAATCATTTGGAAAGGACAGATTTAGTCTTTATCGCGCTTTTACATATAAGCGCAAACAACATAAATACAAAAATTTAGATTCAGAAACATCATCTAAAAATTTAGATTTAGAAACACCATAGATATTTATCTTGTATTTCTTTCAATAATCAGAAACAAATATAATTCATTATTCTGAGCCTAATTATTATTACTAATAATCACAGTCGCAGTAGTATGTTTATAGTACTGCATTTACCTTATTCCCTGTTCTTATTTCTGCATTCATAGAAACTCGCAGAAGGGCTTATAAAATCATTCTTAAAATTCTTGGCCTGAATTTAATCCGGAACCTTTATATTTCTTTTTAATAATATTTTACTTTTTTTAATAATTATGAATTTTTTAAAATAGTAAAATTGCTAACGCTAACTAAAATAAATAAATAATAAGAATCTGGAAATAAAACAGTTCTTGACCACTTGCCTGGACAATAACAAATACATCTGAACCACCATTCATATAATACTCACAATTTTACATAATATGGATTGCTAAAAATTTATTAAAAAAAGTCTGTGATGATTAGCAAAAGTTATATTGGCAGTAATATTAATTCTTTTTTTTTTTGAAAAATTATATTGTCCGAAAACCATTTTCACGAAAGGACATAATCGATTAAATCTAGTTAGCATTATAGTTAAAGCCAGTCAACGTTATCGAAATTATGTTCTTAGGTTATGTTGATTTAGGAGGTTGGAAAGTATTCAAAAATCGTGCTGTTACATTTTAATTTTTAGTACTTATGTGTTCAGTGCTTATAGCGTAAAAAAACCGGTGCTGCAAATACAAGCAACTCCCGATAAGAAACCTTCGATATAAGAAAGTCCTAATTGGGAATTTTACAATAAGCATCCGATATAGGAAACTTTCGATTTAAGAAAGATTTTGACTGAAAACGGCAACTTTTTATGTCAAGTGCCATTTGTATATATAATATTAATGTTAATAATATTCGCATTGCAAAATTTTCAAACGCAATATTTTGTGAATTTAATATCTTGGGTTTAGGCCATTTTTACTTGAAAACGATTAATTCGAATTTTTAATGATATTTTTAATGATATTACGAGCGAGACTTGATGCACAGTTAAGATGAGCAAGATGCAATTAACGAGAAGATTTAAGAAATTCACCGGAAGTGCAACGTGGTGATTCAGCAACAGTATTTAATTTTATAACTTTTAAGGATTTTGTAGTATCTACTGTCAACTACCGATATAACGGACATCTTTAGACCGGATTCACCAGTTTAACGAACGCAAAGAACCGAATTTTTAATATATAAATAATTTATAATGGTTATAACGGATTAATAATAATAATAAATAAGCCATATAACGGAGATTTTTTTTTCACCCCAGATTTCCGTTATATAGATAGTTGACAGTATTTATTTAGTCCGAAGGTTCTTATTCTTTTACAACAGCGAAATACAGTATTTTTATAACTTTTTCATCAATATAGAAACAAAAGAGGCATTGATTTATTATCCCTCAATCTGAGCCTGGTATTCGACGTTTTCTTGATATGCTGCCACGTGTAATAATAAAGTCTTTAGTTCGCGTTCGTGTAATAATGCCATAAATTATCATCCGATTCATGACAAAATTTATCAAAGCCTCAACGTCATATTGTAATGATAAATGAAAATTTCACAGCCTCGATAATATCGTCCTATGTGCGTACAAAATTCAATAATTCGTAGATAACTTTATTTTACTGGTAGCTCGTTTTATAGGCAGTTTATTTCACTGACAAAGCAATTGTTATGTCTTTATGGTTAGGATGAGTTATAAAAAAACCTATATATGGGTGAGTATACAGCAAAACTGTGCTTATAGATGTATAGATGCAGACTTATGACATCACCTAGTTTCGTCCTATATAAAAAATCGGGTTATAAAATAAAACGCAATGAGCCGTATCTAGTAAATAAGTCTGTATCTATAATAATATATACTCTAAGTATCGTTTTGCTGTGTACTCACCTATATGAAATGAATTGTGGATAAAAAAAATTTTATGAAATATGTTGACAGTAAAATAAATTATGAAATGAACTTGTCTGTGAATCGTCTGTAAAATAAAACCTGCCTGTGAATTAATTGTCTAAGAAATAAGATGTCTATTATGATTTGACTTTAAATTCGTTTTTTTTGAATCCGACCTCTAGCCTATGAAATGTCAGTAAAAAAACTGTCACTCACATTAGTCAAGTTCACTGAAACATGCAATCTGGTCCAAGTCCATTGGTCTATTGATAGCTGGGCTATAATAATTTAGTCCAATAATAGCACAGTTCAGTCATCAGAAAGAACAATTATTTATGTCTTTGAAAGAGAATAACTGGCCTATTCTGAATGATTTACTACCGTCTCATCTAATACAGCAATAAGTCTAAAATCATTAAAATCAATCACGGGATCATCAAGAGATTTATAAATGATCTCGTGATCTTGTAATTTGATTTGGATTAATCGTCTCGATAAGCATTCATTTTGATCCAAAACTGACAGTGGGTCAATTTTATTTGCATTTAAAGTTGCCAAAAATAATTGTAATCAATTTGGCATTAGCTGATAAAATTGACTTATCCGAGATTTTTTGAAAAATTGACTTAGTCGACTCTTGAAAATTGGCAAAATACGGGATATATTAATTCTTTCTTAGTTGAGGTGACTGTCATACCTAATAATTAACCAATCATATTCATTTAAAATCATGTGTTTGAGATTAACCAATTAGAATAATCGACTTCGACTTGGCTGTTAATCGGTCGCGCAGTAATTATCAGCAGGCTTTGAGTAAGATTTGTAAAAATTTGATTTTTTTAACTAGTATTCTCTATAATTAGAAATTTATCGGGTTTTAGATAGTGTGGAGAAATTTTGTTGATCCCTAGTCGGCCCCACCTATATTACTCGGCAGAATCTCAATTTTGACTGATGAAATTCACAGCCGCCCATTAAGCAACAGGAGAAACCGTCAATGTTACACATTAATCCTTCACATGATGTAGTTAATCAATAATGAAATTATTTATTTTGAGTTTACTCTATAATGTATGTTATGGATATAATCCCTCGCCCGTCGTTCACACGGTGTGATCAGTTAAACTGAAATTATTTATACAGTATCGATACGTATGTAACTTCAAATGCGATGGATATAAAGTTAATTCCAGTCAAAAATAACAATTATGTAATGCAAAAATTTTGCAGATCCACGGCCGTTAGCCAATCAAAATCGGGAAATTTTGTTGCGGTAGCTATGGAAACTAATGCAAAAACCGACCGATAAACTTTTATTAGAAATAACTTTACTATGACATGTTGAACGAATCAGGGCACAAAATTTCCGGATGCCGGAAGCTGCCTTTTCTCCGGCGGTGTTTATTTTAACCGGAACTTAGAAAACTCAACCGGATGTAGCAGTTTTTAATAAAGATATTGTAATATTTATTGATTTTTATATACATACGTATATATGATATCATATTCAGAAATTTTCCGGCTGTTGAAAAGTCGGGCCGGAAATTGTCACGTGTAAACGGAAATTTCCGAAATTTTACAATAGGATTTGTGCCCTGGAACGAATACTAGTTAAAAATACCAATCTTTTATAAATCTTGCTCAAAGTCGGCTGACGGTTACTGCGGTACCAACTAACATCCCTGTCACCAGGAGTCTAGAGAAATGACCAATCGGAATGCGTAAATTTTGATTGTCTCTCGGTCTTTGGGTACTAACAGAAAATGTCGGGAACATAATATTACATATGGGAATGATCTTTCAAAGTACCTTAGCCGGAAATATAACATAAAGTCAAAACCGCTTATCCGAATATGCCACAATGCGCCACATCACGTTACTGCAAAAATGTTTAGACTCCTATATAAAGCTGGCTAAGCCTTTTTTTTTTTTTTTAACCCCACCAGTGGGACGCGTGATTTATTATTGACTTAGTCAAGTCGATAAATCAGAATCGACTACAAGCACTAGCCAAAAAATACTAATTGGACTGAACAAAATAGTTGACTGAATATGTAAAAAAAATTTAGGCCAGCAATCTGTAAAGATTGGATAAGTCAACTGGACAGTCTGCTTATGATGTAAGCATCTCTATGGTGTACTATCAGATCATGAATTAGGTGAAACACGCTTTTTTATACAAATTCGATCATACCATTTAAACTATTGGAGTAACTACGCCAATGATGTGTTTTACATAACAACATTATGGACAAACTCATAAAATTCTTGGTTAGGGTTTTATCAAAGATTGCTACAAACTTCTTGTCATAATATTAGTTGTATTTACGCTCACACCTTTACATGTTTAGAATTGGTTTTCGATTTTTTGTAAATTATATCGCCTTAAACAGTTAGAAGACAAAAAAAATAATATAATGCATATATGCCCCAGTGATTATACTTGCCGCCCAAATCTCAAACTATTATAGTTTGGGTTTGTCCGTCCGTCCCAAATTAATATCTCAAAAATTTTATTAATAATCTTTATTTAAACAAATAATATATGTTCTTATAGCTATATATAATATATTTTACAAATATCAAAATTCTTTTATTGGTTATTTTTTATAAAAGCAATTTGTTTAGGGGGTTTTGGATTTGTTCGGTTTTGCCAGCAAGTAAACTGCACGTTGAAGATTTTCTTGACGATTATTTTTATGCTCTGGAAGGATGAATGGTTGAGATAGTAACCGACACAGTATTTTGCTGTTATATCTCCATGGTTAGCGTGGTAATTGAAGGATCCCTTTGCTTATTCGATATTCTTCAATTGCTGCCTCTACGCACATGAAATCATCATCATTGATTATAAAAACATCATCTTCACGTTTTTTGCATCAACTTTATAATGATAATTATAAAGGACCCTGAAATTGGTAGACGAAAATCCGGTTCATGGTTAATGGCTTTAAATATTATAAATTAAGAGTAAGTTGCAGTTGAAAGGTACAAAATGGTGATACATTTATATAATATTGAAATGCCGAGAAATGTAGACATCGGATCCTGTTCATTTCACCGAAAATCAGTTCACCAACAGTACGATTCATCGACAATCAGTTCACCGACAATACGATTCACCGATAAGGTTTTTTTATAAATTACACCTAATTCTAACCTGACCCTAACGTCAATGACCAGAATTACTTTGTCGGTGAATCGTTAGGGTGTGCAATGGCCTATTAAATAAAACATAGGCAGGGTCACTAGTGAATCGGTGAATTGATTGTCGATGAAATGAACGGAACCGGTAGACATCACATATTTACAAAATGAAAGCTGCCAATATACTTAACCTAATTTAATAATTCTACCATAATTAAAACTAGAATCCCTGCATACAACTTTTTTTTAGAACCCAACGGTTTAAACATGATATAAAAATATATTAAATAATAATACCTGAATATGCAATGTTCTGCCAAACTTTGGATACATTCAAAGAAAATGGTTCACGATATTTCTCATTAACAACACGATCTCGAATAGTCTATTTCCTCATTCAGCAATTTCTCATAGAAGAGTCCTAAATTAAAATATTAATTTAAATAATATCTAATTAGATCATATAAATTTGGTGATATTACGTACCTATAAATTTCACATTTAATTATGTATTGTCGTGTTCTAATTTCTCAGGTGCCATGCACCTCACATTTTCAAGATTAACTTGTATATTTCTAGTAAGATCTCTAAACTTATGACTTACATCAAAATTAGCAACCTTTTCTTTGTGATTACTGCTTATTAGTATATTTGAACCTCTGATATCATTGTGTAGAATCTGTTAACATAAATATAAATTATAACATTAAATTTTATTTTAAAATTCCTCATTAGCATTGAATAAATTTTCAACAAATCTTTACAGAATTTAAGAAAGCAATTCCTTGACAAATGTCATTGGCAAGTTCAAATTTTTTATTCTAATCCAATGGATATCATGTGTAATATTCCCGTACTCCATCCATTCTGTAATAAAATAACATCTTGAATTATCAGCACCTTAGTGCATCCACAATACTTACCAATATTTTTTAAATCTCTTAAATCTTTCAGAATAGAGATTTGCTGGTCAATTGCTTTTTCTGTTTGTTCGTCGTTTGCGATCGAACATAACTTCATATTCATTTAAGTCTAATAATATTATGGATCAATTGAGGTTTCAACTCCCCTACATTTTTCCCGTTAATAACAAACATTCACATCTCTAATCTTTTTGATATTCGTAAAGGTCTTGGGATTATTGCATACATCACACATGAACTATAAAATAATTATTTGTAATTTAATAAATTCTTTACGATAACTTGTATGAGTTCAAAGCAATGACAAATACTTTTTGACAAAGTCTCTAAGCTATATGTAGCTACTGTGTGACTTACCTCTTTCATCTCTACAAAAAAAATCTGTTATAATTTGGATTTTTGTGTTTTAGATCCAAACTATTTTTTTTTGGTTTACAAAATTTAAAGATAGTATCAATTCATCAAACTTATTCTATAAATCCTCATATTTTAGTACAATACAATTAGTTGAAGAAAAGTAATCAATTTCACAAAGGTGAGAAGTCACTATAACAAAATTTCTAATATCAAGTATACATTTCAATAAGTCCTTAATAAGTTGGATTGACTAAGAAATCTATATTTTTGGATTTCGAATTTCTAAATCTTTTATGGCCATACAAGCTAAATTCACTTTTTGACAAAGAAATTTTTATTATATTCTGCTTTTTGGTATAACATTGTAATGTCATCTTCTAATTGTAAAAATATTTCTATTAACAATGCAAAAGATTTATAACTTTTTGATTTTTTGGATACATTTATAATGGTACTCATAACCTTGTTAATTATTTTATCTATTTCTATCACAATTTGTTCATTAAAATATTCATCTTTATCATCACTGTAAACTAATCTATTGTCATTGTCAAAATGTTAAACTTTATTTCTTTCATATTTTATCTGATATAATAATGAATCCTTGTTGATTTGGAGAATATACATACTGTAATTATTTACTGTCTACGCAAAATTGAGTTATGATGACATGATGATTTGTTAAAATTTTTTTGTTTATATTCTTTAAAATACATAAATAATACCTACATACTATAAAATTGAATAGAAAAATAATACTTAGTCAAATGCAAACATTAAAAATTAAGTAAAATGAATAAGGCTTTGTTACCTGTATTCTATGTTGTTTGATCTTTATTAACTTAAAATTTTTACATTTTACTTTTTGGTATTACTTGTCTGAATTCATGTATAACTTTATCAATAGCAGGACATCCATTGGGATCATTTTGCCAACATTTTATATGTAGTAAAATAATGTAAGAAGTTTAAACAGTTATAAGATAAGAATAATTAACCCATATATTTGAGTGTGCAATTAGAGAAGGTGTGCACTGCACTTATAAAGGTTTTATTGTATAAGGTTCAAATTAGTTTGTATAATAAAATATTTAAATTTTTTTTTTGTTTTATTATACAAAATTTTTAATTAATTAAACCATTTAAAAGGAAACTGATTAGATGATATACATTTATTGCTATCCTGTATATTTCTAAAATCGTCAAATCTATTAGTTATTATTAGTATATACAGACTTTTCTATATCGATATATATATATTAATAGTTGTATAAATATGATGTGTAATAAATATAATTTATATAATACAAGTACAAATAAATAAAGAAAAAAGACTTAATTATTTTATTCTTATGTGAAAAAGAGATTTCTTTTTTATAAATAAGATCATTATTCAGAGAGAAATAGTATAATCAAGAATATGGTACGCATATATATGAGCAACCAGTGTTGTATATGGTATAAATTTGAAATTTAATATGTATCTTTTTCGATTCCTAAATAAAAATAGTTATAATCTAATTTTACATGTATTTTATTATTGTTTTGATATAGTTTTTCAAACTAAAAGCTGAGAAATTGATGGAACAAAGTTGGAACTTCCCAGTACAAAATAGGAAGGACAAGACCAAAAAAGTCTGAGACAGTCAAAATGTACAATCATTTAGTTTCTCTTTTGTAATTAATTTAGTCAAAACTAAAATGTAAATAACATTTATGTGAAAAAATGCACAAAAAATTTAAAATAATGCAAACTATATAACATGAATTAAAAAGATTTTTTTTAATACTAAAAATCTTTTTAAAGCAACATAAAACTTTTAAAATATTGTTTTGAACACTTACTATCCTTTATTATTAACTATGTTACATAGTGCTTTTTAGAATTCAAAAAATATTCCTAAGCTGTATAAGGTGTAACTATTTATGAACCCAATCAATTTAAAGCTGCTCGATACGTGAGTATCGAGGCAGCTTTTGTCTCGAATCAGCCCGTAACTAGGCATGTGACATGCCCT